AGTTTTATTGGGTTTAAAAGCTTCTCTTGTATGTTGAAATTTCCCTTCCTGTGGGCGAGTTTGGGGGAGGGGGTTTAGTTTGGGGAGCGCGTTTGCTATAATCAATTTGGTAGTATTAATAATAAAATTAAATATGAATGTTTGGATAACATTTTCATTAATATCAAAGCGAACTCCTCTGCAGTTATAGATACGCTCCTTTCTGATCATTCCGGTGTGAAGGTCAATCTTTCCCTAAAAAATTCCTCCATTAAAAATGAAGGTCCAATTAAATGCCGTCCGATTACAACGGTTGGTAAAATAGCTTTATATAATATATTAAATAATTGTAGCTTTGAATTCGTTAAAGATACTGATAACGACGTTCAATGCAAATTCAATACCTTTATAAATACAATTGTCTCTGCATGCAATATAGCATTTCCCGAAAAAAATGTAAAGAGTACTCACCATGCCCCTCTTATTCGATGGTTCAATGATGAATTGAGAGTCATGAGAAATACTTTAGAATTTTTACAGGATATTTATTCTCAATTTCCAAGTGAATACATTAAATCAATATTAAGATCATTTAGACGTAAGTACAATTTGGCTATCAGAAAAGCTAGAATCGAAGCTCACGACAAGTACATTTTAAAATGTACAAACTCTTCAAAAGCCATCTGGAAAGTCATCAAAGGTCAGTCCAAAACTACTGTTGAATCCTCCAAAATAGATGCGGAATCCTTTAATCAAGGCTTTATAAATGATGCTATTACCTTAGTTAATAATATGAGAAGCAGTGTTGTTGATCCTCTATCTTATTTATCATCCCACTGCACGGCTTCATCTCCATTAAATGTGTGTGCACCGTTGTCACAGATTGAAGTTAGGGATTCTTTTAAATCTTTAAAACCCAGCAAATGTAGAGACGCGTACGGCCTTAATTTTGAAATTATTAAATGTATCATCAACATTATTATTTCTCCACTAACATCGTTATTAAATCAATGTCTTCAATGCAGTACGTTTCCAGATGTCCTAAAATTAGCATGCGTTATTCCCCTTTATAAAAAGGGTGATATTAATGCACCTGCCAGCTATAGACCCATATCTATTTTACCTGTTTTTTCTAAAATATTTGAAGTCATTTTAAAAAATAGGATTGCTAAATTTATGGAAGAAAATAATTTTTTTTCTAGTAATCAATACGGTTTCAGGAAAGGTCTATCTACAACAACGGCGATACTTAATTACACCAGAGACGTAATACATAGCTTAGAGGCACGTAGGTTTTGCACGTCAATATTTGTCGACCAAACGAAAGCGTTTGATTTAGTGCCTCACAATGTACTGTTAGGAAAACTACAACTTTATAATTTTTCTCGTCAAAGCACACAGTTAATAGGGTCATATTTAAATAATCGTAAACAGTTTGTGCAATATAATAACATACAATCAAATTGTCGAAATATCACATTAGGGGTTCCGCAAGGTTCCATAATTGGACCTCTTTTATTTTTAATTTATGTAAATGACATCTACATGTCAGACCGGAATAGTATCTTCACGCTGTATGCCGATGATACAACCATCACAGTTACATCCACTGATCCTACTAAAAGTGAGGAACAAATTAATAATGCACTAACCGCGGTAAAAATGTGGACTACTGCCAATCGATTGGTAATAAACGATAGTAAGACACAAAAAATTCAATTTTCCTTAAGAAATATTGGTAGAAAAGACATAGCCTCCATTAATTTTCTAGGGGTGCAGATCGATGCCAGGCTTTCCTGGAGACAGCACGAAAATAAAGTTTGTGCAAAATTGGCATCTGTTGCGTATATGCTAAAACATTTGTCAAATTCAGTTTCTGTGAAGGTTCTAAAGTGCGTTTATTATAGCTTTGCACATTCTATCATTAGTTACGCCATCATTTCCTGGGGTCATTCTACAGCAATGAAAAGAACGTTTGCCATGCAAAGGCGCTGTGTGCGGAATATTGTAAATGCTGGCTACAGGGAGGACTGTCGCAATATCTTTAAATCGTTGCAAATTCTAACAGCTCCATCACAATACATTTTTGACTCAGTTTTGTCCGTTCATAGAAATAAATCAAATTATATAACGCATAAAAATGTTCATTCTTACAATACTCGGAACAAAAATCAAATATATAATGATAGATTACGATTAAAAACGTCGCAAGCGGCACATAATTATTGGGGCCCTGTGTTGTATAACCGTTTACCTTCTTGTTTCCAATCTCTAAATGAACAACTCTTTTCCAAGAAACTTAAAACTTTTTTACGCGAAAATCCAATATATAACATCCAAGAGTTTTTAGATAACGACCTCAAGACTTTAACGCCTTAAGTTTTTTTTGTTGTTTGTATTTTTTTTTGTTTGTTTGTTTGTTTGTTTGGTTTAATTGTTTTATTTCTAAATGATTTTTCATGTTATTTAATATTGTTGAGGTTGTTATCTATATGTCTCATGTATTTTATGTGTTTTATGTGTTATACGATTTCGACGGACGAGTGTAAGCATTTTTTAAATGTATTAACACAATAAATTACTTACTTACTTACTTACTATTCTTCTACGATCCACCGTTATTATTCTTAATAAACTATTTATAGTGTCACGTATGTTGATGATCGGATTGGTTGCATTTTCTTCAGCTTAGAATTAAACTATTCTTGAAGCATTATTTTCTTCATGTGCAGATCTCAGGTTACTCTGAATTTCAGCGAAACTTTTTCCTTTTGTCTCAGGTAGCAAGAACACACCAAAGAGCACTCCAAGGAAGCAAACTCCTCCAAATAACCAACAGATCGTGTGCAAACCCCATGATTCATACATACTTCCAGATATCTGTAGTTGAAAAAACACAATGACCGAAGAGTAACATGTTACAACAAGGCAGCCGACTTTTTTCGTCCTTGCAGTAAAAATCTCGCCAACAACAAAATATGGCAAATACATCAGTATACCCGAGAAAACGAAAAACCCGTACATCGTTAAACACAATACTGGTAAAAATGATACCGTTTCTAAATTCATTACTCCGTCCAGATAGATATAAGCGCCCAGTCCAAAGAGAGCCACACTTGCCCCTTGCGATGACAGACAAAGCAATGGCTTTCTTCCAAGTTTGTCCACCAATAGACCACCAAATACAACTAAAACATTGTATTTAAAATTATATCCACTACTAGGGACTTTACCTGCAGGAACTTGAACAATACGAAAAAACAAGCTTGTTAGTTCATCGGACATGCTAATACTACCTGATGATGCCAAGACATGCAGGTACGCACTCATGAATGGAAGTCCACAAAAATTTACAATATTATGACCCACTAAAATTAGAATTTTTCATTCAAGATAAACGAATCAAAGAAATTACCGAACACTATCAGCAGCGCCTGTCGAAATTGCGGTGTAAGCAATGATTGTATGAACGTCAATTGGCGTATCTCCCTTTCTACAGTTTCCTCTACCTCCCTTAGTACGGGCGCCACTTCACCAGCCGTTTCCACACCTAACAATCGCATTAAATTCCTTTCCGCCGCAAATCTTCTGCCTTTCTTCATTAGGAAGTATGGAGAATCCGGCATTAAGGAGAACAGTACCAGAAAAGTTATTGGGAAAACTGCGCAACTGACTATAAGTGTTGTGTATTCCAAGTATCGACCCGCGCCAGCAAGAAACAAATTTCCAAAAATCCCGACAAACAGTGGTATTGCCCCAAGTCTTCCTCTAATGTCGTTACTTGCTATTTCGCATATGTAAATACTTATGCACTGGGGGAAACTGTCAGGTTAAAATATTAAAGCTACTGAGACACTTACGGGCGAAGAAAGTCCATCACCGACGCCGGCAATCACGCGTCCAATAACTAACATTTCCAAAGACTTAGAGATTCCTAAAACAATCCAGGACATTATTGCTAATATAGCGCCTGCTATAAGAATCTGCTTTGGTCCCAGTATTTCCAGAAGTAATACAAGGAAAACACACCCGACGATTACGCCAAAGTAGATCGTTGCAAACATCCATGCTGCATCGTCCTTAAGTTTGATGTTAAATAAAAATAATATCAACCCAATTTTATACATACGATAGTGATCGGTTTTCCAATTGGCGAATCTGATTTTAACAATAGCGATAAGGTCGGTGATCCCCATGACAAACTCGCACACTGAGATAGTTGTAGCAGACCGACTATTGTTGTAAAAGGAAAGTCACTGACGAATAGTTGTTGATTTTCGCTTACCACAAAACGCTGCAAAATACTGTAAGTATCTGGGTTTTCTTGTAATGTGTTCTTCGTTCAGCATTTCTACTACATAAGTTAGAAGGTTAGGAGTGCGTGATGAAACATTACCAAGAAAAACAATTCAAGATAAACAGGTCATTACTAGATTTATGATAACATATTTGGTATAGTACTGTATTAAAGCACACTATTTTATTAAAATTCATGGAATTGGTGTGGGATGGATGTTTGCACACAGCAAAAGTGGTCTCTGGGCCTACCTCCTAAGAGCCTAATTGTCTATTATTACAAACAAAATAATAATACTGGATAATACAGAATGGTAATTGTTTTGTAGTAACGAAATAACGATTAACGTAGTTAAATTTTTAGATTAACTTTGTCCAACTCTGCCTCTATGCCACATCGTTCTTGAAACATGAGGAACTGGAGAAAAGGTTTTGTGCATTGTCACATTCTATATAGTAAAATACCATTCAAGGGTGTCGTACCTATCTATAGGTACCTCCACCGCCCAATCAAAAATTGGTTAGTAGTTTACTTGGCACCACTATGGGCACACGATTAAAAATTTGGCACATTTTGGTCTTTACACGCAAGACTTTAGGCAATCTTAACAGTGGTTCAAAATGAAATAAATTGGTCTAGACGCACGGACACGCAGCTGGGCGAACAGATGGGCGGATGGATCAATAGATGGACAAACCATTTCAATTTTTGGAATTCTTAATGGTCTCACGAATTATAATCTAAAAATGTTTAAAAACATGAATTTAAGCGGGATATCACCAGTTGTAGACCCAATAATCTGTTCTAAATAAACGAGATAATAACCAATCAAACTGTTGGGGCAATTGTTGAAGCAAATATTAAATCTTGTTGACTATTTGTTCATGAAACGCGTCTATTTTTGGGAAATAGGTAATTGATAAACTCATTCGAGATCGAGCTTATTAGAAATACAATGTCCTTGGCCTGAGAGCGAAAGAGAGGAAAGGTCTAAATAATTTAGTCCTAGTGCATCAGTATAATGTGTTTTACAGTCTCATTGACCAAATTTGTGCATAAATTTGGATTTTACACAAATTTTCCAGCGCCGAGATCCTTCACACGAACGGACGGATGAGTAGGTATATTATATTGTCATTATATTCATAAATAGAACCGTTACTTTATTCATGCCATGCAATGCAGTCCTATATTATTTGCATTTAGTATCGTTTGGTTTGGATTAAGGTTTTATTTGCTGCTATTCGGTAATTATACAATTAAAAGAGCAGTCCGCCAGTCCTTTTTTTTCCACACATTTTTCAGAGAATAAACCCCTACTTCCGCAGCCAGCAATGTTTAAGATAAGTTGGGACATGGTTCCAGGTCCAGATAGCATCATTAGATTTATGTGTCTTATAATGAGATACGATTGGCTACAAAAGGTTTCCATTTCTGCGGTTAGATAGGTTTTTTCTAGGGTCTTTTCCTACTTCAGGGTTTATTTCGTTTTTTTAGCTACTTTCTGTACCCCATCTTCTCTTTTCTTTAGTATCCCCCTACCCCTAATCCACTTCTCGCCTTTTCCCCCATCCTCCAGCACTTCACTCCTGCTTCTCACTGCCCTTTCCACCTTCTTGCAATTCCATAACATGTGTTCTATGTTTTCTTCTTCCTCGCCACATATTCGACATTTTCTTCTCCTTGTCTCTCTTTTCAGGTCCAGATCTGAAACTCGCCATTATTTTTATTCCCTCGCATAAAAATTTTGGTAACCACTCCCTTATTAGGTTTTTGTAACCGCTATACTTCCTCTTCCTCATGCACTTTCTATCTTCACCCTTTTGTTGATGTAATTGTGCATCCACGTCCCTCATTGTCAGCTCATTTTCCATCCTTTCTCCTCCGGTCAGGTCCGTATCCATTTTCTTTCATAATATTTCCCTCTTTGTTCTTCTCACATTCCTTTTGCGTTCATCCGTGTCGTCAAGTATAATTGTTTTACCAATTCGCTTTCTTTTTCTCTCCTTTCCTCGAACCTTATACCGCCCTGCGTCCCGACGCTACCCTTATCTTCTCCATATTTGTTTCCTCCCCTAATATACAATTTTGTGTCTTTCCGTTTAGAGCCGTGATACCCGTTTATAATACCTTCTTTGTATTCCATCCACTTTCCAGTTCATCCCATTCCTTTCACCCCCATCGTACATAAGCACCTGTCTCACCATTGCATCGAATTCTTGTTCTGAAATTGTTCTTGAAACCCGCCCTCCTATTCTCCACACCTCTGTCTCATCGCAACCATACACGTATTCCTTACTTCTCTTATTTGCGCATTTGCGCCATTATTGCCTCGCATTTGGTACCCTAAATTTTAATTTCTTTTACCTTTTCTATTCTTTCTTCGCTCCATTTCTATTCTATCTCTCTTTTCCTTCCCCTCCCCCCTCCTAAATGTTATCGTCTTCGACATTTCTGCATTTAACTGTAGGTATTCCTTTGCTTTCCCAAACCACAGATTAAATTTGCGCCAATACCTTTCCATTCTTCCCAACATTTCCTTTATCTGTTCTACCTGTGTTGCCATTATCATCCATCATCTTCCATAATTTTTGCCTTTCTACTCTTCCAAACACCGCCTTTAAGTCCATGAAAAGCACAAACACCATTTACACCCTTTTTTGCAATTCCATTTCCACCAATCTGTGTAATACATATTTCCCCTCCCTTTTATGAGGCCCATTTGTGTTTCCTCCAACAACCTCTTCTCTTCCATTTCTCTTTTTAATCTTTCAGGACTTGCATAAATTCTATACCTACGGCTGTTGATGCGACCCGAAAACGTCTGTACCTAGGGAGTACCACCCATACGATACGATTATCGTGATTTTCCTATATATAGACTTTATTGCCTCCTGTTTATCCTCTTCCAAAAATCCTTTTCTGTTTTTATTTCCTTGATCTACGTATACATTCTGTTTCACCATCTTTTGTTTACATTTTCTTTTGCATTTCTTTCTGTTCTCTCATTTCCCCTCTTCTTTTTTTCGCAATCATTTCTCTATTTGTACATTCTCTGTTCTTCCACCCCTGTCTTTTTTCTGTTCCATCTCCTTCAGGTATTTGTCCCCACGTTACAGAGCTGGGCAGTATTCGATTTTGTAAATACTTTTCAGTACCTATTCAAATCCTTTAAAGTATTCAAATACTTTGTAATTAAATACTTTTATGGAAGCTGTATTTGTATTTGTAACTCAAATACTTTTACAAATATTTAGCATTGGAATACTTCGCAAGGTCCTTCCTTTTTTTACCAAACATCGACTACTCCAAAATTTCTCGGGAAAACACTTTTTCTTATTAATTTTGGTGCATAGAATCCAAAACAATTCGCACTTTTTCGATCAGACTTCTCAATCAAAAGTTATAGGCAAAAAACCAATTTCGACAAAAAATTCAAAGGGCTGTAACTCATGATCTAGTAGCCCAATCTTGGAACTGATCGAAATTATGGATTCTACAGGCCACATTCTATAAGAAAGTTTTTTCCGGGTCGATCTGACACAATTTTTCTTTCGGGCCTCAAAAAAAGGCAGTGTATAACCTTCCTTTTTACCAAAAATTGACTGCACCAAAATTTCTCGGGAAAAAACTTTTTCATATTAATTTTGGTGCGTAGAATTCAAAACGATTCGTACTTTTTCGATTAGACGTCTCAATCAAAAGTTATGGGCAAAAATCCAATTTCGCCAAAAAATTCAAAGGGCTGTAACTTTCGATCTAGTAGCCCGATCTTGGAACTGTTTGAAATTATGGATTCTGCAGGCCACATTCTATAAGAAAATGTTTTTTCCCGATCGATCTGAGACAATTTTTTTTCGGGCTTCAAAAGAAGGCAGTGTATAATAATCTTCCTTTTTTATCAAAAATCGACTGCACCAAAATTTCTCGGGAAAACACTTTTTCTTATTAATTTTGGTGCGTAGAATCCGAAACAATTCGTACTTTTTCGATCAGACTTCTCAATAAAAAGTTATAGACTAGAAACAAATTTCGAAAGAAAATTCAAAGAGCTGTAACTTTTGAACTAGTAGCCCAATCTTGGAACAGATTGAAATTATGGATTCTACAGCCCACATTCTATAAGAAAATGTTTTTTTCCCGATTAATTTTGGTGCGGTGAATCCAAAACGATTCGTACTTTTTCGATTAGACGTCTCAATCAAAAGTTACGGGCAAAAAACCAATTTCGACAAAAAATTCAAAGGGCTGTAACTCATGATCTAGTAGCCCAATCTTGGAACTGATCGAAATTATGGATTCTACAGGCCACATTCTATAAGAAAGTTTTTTTCCGGGTCGATCTGACACAATTTTTCTTTCGGGCCTCAAAAAAAGGCAGTGTATAACCTTCCTTTTTTACCAAAAATCGACTGCACCAAAATTTCTCGGGAAAACACTTTTCCTTATTAATTTTGAATTGAAAGTATTCTGCCCAGCTCTGAATCCATATTCAACAAACAAACTTAATCTACACACTTTCGCAGGACATGTATGGGGACAATGTCTCGTGGCGCCACAGCAACTTTCGGATCCATGTGATTGGGGTTGGAGAATCTCGAGTGAAGATCAAGAATGGAAGCCTGTTTGGACTTGAAAACCTCCAGTTCAAGAAGCTCCTGTAATCTTAGTAAAATGTGGATGTAAGAAAGGTTGCACACAAAGATACTGCAGCTGTGCCAAGTCCGACATGCCCTGCACCGAATTGTGCGACTCCGGAGGCGAGTGTTCTCAAGATAGGGTTCAATAATTTTAGTGCCATAGTTATCGTTAACTTTCCTTTCAGCGTTGTAATGTCTCAATAAATATTTTAGAGCATAGTTAAACTGTATAATACTCAATACAGCAGCCAAAAGAAGTCTCCGTCACGATTTGATTGTCCGCACTGTTAAAAGCGCCTTAAAAATATGCAAACCACGTGAAATACCCTAAATAAATTCTCTCTGGGTATTTGACAATTCCCTTCAACCTTCCTAGATGTAAGAAAGTACAAAACTAGTGTCTAGAACATCCTCTGAAAGTTTCATAAAGTTGTCACAAAATGCAAGG